AATTATAATCAAATATAATTAATAGTTCCCAATATTTTTTCTTTTATTTGTCACAAACTAATATAGATTTGTAACTTATCTATAAAATGTCAACAATTTTTATCTACACAATGTAATGTAATATATACATTAATAAAAATAGATTATTATCTAATTGAAGGATATATATATAGCATTCAGAAAATTAGTTTATACAAAATAACAAACAAACCTGGCAAAAAATTCTTCAAATAATTAACCAAACAATGTCTTTAAAAAAATGAGTTATCTCCCTTTGTACAGAAATATGGTTTAACATAGTACTCTAACATTAGATATGGTCCAGAGTTATGGTCCATAACTCTGGACTAAATCATCAGACCGGAACAAAATTCGAACTTGATCTATAACTTGTCATATCAAAACTATATACCAAATATCAAATCAATATCTTCAAGAACGAAGAAAAAAGTGTGGAAAGCTGATTTGCCGGACTGACGGATTGACAGACGGACGGACGGACAGACAGACGGACAGAGTGCAAACCTAAAGTCCCCTTCAACTTCGTCGGTAGGGGACTAATAACGGAGCCAAAAAACTAGAACCGCTTTTCAATAAGTCATTTGGGAGGTAATCTAAACCGACTGCCTTTCCACATTTTAACTTACACACCTCTTTGGGAGTCATCCTTAAATCCAGTTCATTGAACGAGATGTTTTTAAGTATTTTGTAAATTTCGTTAATTCTAGATTTATACTGATCTGGTATTTTATTAAGAGATTTACAGTTGGTAAGCTATACATTTGTATCTACTGTTTTTTTTCTGGGCCCTCCTTATCGTTTTTGAATGGATTGATTTGTTCAGTATTCTTCTGGATTATCTTTCCTTAACCCATCAAGACTGTCCAATATTTTTTGTTATTGTGCTATGGTCAATTTTGTATTCTTGTCTTTCATTTTTGCTTATGTCTGTATGCCATTTTGTCTTTCTTTGCTTTGTTTTTATAGTGATAAAGGTTATATTACAATGTCGACTGCTGTACCCCAATTTTTGACATTTTTTACTAGTAATGTCTGTTGTTTTGCTCACACATTGCTGTCAATATAATGTCATACAAGTGAGAGGTTTAGTTAGCTATAAAACCAGGTTTAATCCACCATTTTCTACATAAGGAGATGACTGTATCAAGTCAGGAATATGACAGTTGTTTTCCATGCATTCGTTGATGTGTTTGAGCTTTTGATTTTTCCATTTGATAAGGGACCTTCCGTTTTGAATTTTCCTTTTAGTTTGGTATTTTTGTTATTTTACTTTTTCATAATTAGGTTTAAGCATTTCCAGATTTTTAGGAATGCAATTTTGATTTTTCGCAGTTTTTTGAATAGGAGGAAATAATATTTATCTTCAAATTCAGGTGCAATTCCAGGATTCTTTAAAGGAGGGGAGTGCACTTAATTCCAGAAACGGGATATATACCGGCGAGCGGAGCAAGGACATTGTTTTGGGGCGATTTTATGACAAAAATGATATATATTCCAATCAATTTTTGAAAGTAGGAGCACGCTCTCTACCCCCGCCCCCCTAAAGCCATCATTGTACTTCATTACAACTACAATGTTTGTATTACATAATATGTGTTCTTTTGGAATATTTTTGGATCGTCCAATTTCTATGTTTAAGTTATGGTCTTTGACACGATATTTTAATTATTATTTTAAATTAGTTCCCTTGAATTTAATAAATAGTCTCAAAGATTTGCTTTATTTCAGATGGCTATGCAGAAAATAAATTTATATTCCACTGAATTTTAGTAATTTTTTTTCAATACATATTTTTATTAAGCACTTGTCATATATCAATTTCTTTTTTATTCTTTACACAGGTATCTTAAGAGATTAATATTTTGTAAAATCCAAATCAAATCCATCAACATTTTTTATTGACAAGTGTACAAAAGATTAATCGATTTTGTATTTGATCTACAACAATATGTTAATGTTAGCTTTTTACAAAAGAATCAATTGAAAATTTCATAAGTTAAAATTTAGTAGCAATGATGCATGCATTTTTTGTTAGTGTTAAAACAGATTTACAATATCTATTATGGACTTTTTATACATGTATGTTGTTCTCCGGTGTATTTGTATGTCATTAAGGCTCAGTCTTTTTTCCACCTAACTTTATAAAATTTTATTGTCAAAATACGTAGTAACTCAGTAGGTGTTGATAAACACACAAGTACGTGTATGATTTATGTATCAACAGTCATTGATGAATCAATTTTCATTATACTAGTAGTCACTCTGTACACTAGCAAACCAATATTAGAAGCAAAATGGAAAGATATGAATTATGTTGGTACTGAAAAGGATATAAGTTTTAATGGTACATCGCCTAAGATCTTAAAAAATATTGTAGATTGTAATAACTGTAGATCAAGGGAATAACACCGTCTCTGGTAGAACCTAATTACACGAAATCTGATTATACACTAGTTATTTCAGAAAAGGTGAAACTGCTTATATTCAGTCCTTTGTTTACAAAAATCAACATACTTGACAAGGGTAATATAGCCATTCCAAACATTTTGAAAAAGAAAATGTAAAACTGAATTTGTTAAACTGTCATTTCAATGCTAAATCTCAATCTTATAGGGATTATATAAAAGATGACATTCAAAATAATAGGAGATTGCTTTATGAACTTTTGATGAAAAGAAATACATGTATATTTCAGCTATTCAAATGCACTAACAACTAGAACGGACTGATTGTTTACCATGCATGTGATATGGTTTTATTAAAAATGAAAGCGTATGGTGTGGTGTGTTAACAGAATACGGAACAAAAGATAAATGTAAACTATCAAAATATAAATAAAAGGATATATCGGGTATACACCAACTCAAAGAGGTAAATCATCAAAAAGTCAACATGACTTCACCAATAGACAGACAGGTGTCTAAAAGCAATTATACTGCACTCGTTCTATTTTAGCAGTCACAATGCGTTGACTGTATATTTCTATGTCATATACAGTCACTGACCCGATATCATTTTTCCTCATGAATATTTAAATAGAAGAGACAAAACTATATTTAATATTCATGACGAGCGCTTCAACCTGTCCTTGTTTCCAATGTTTACAACGAAGCGTGGAACGACTCAAATTTGTTTCTTTTACAATTGTTAGAAAAACATATTTCACTTGTTAATATTTTTTGTTTAAAACCTATAAGACATTAAAGTCATTATACTTTATGCTTATTGTTGATATTTTAGTCCATACTCATACTCAAACGAATTCGTTCACCAACTATTGGTTTCAACAGGTAAATTAATGTACATTTCATTGTGCTGTATGTTTCTCCGCCAGATGTGAGGCCTTTTTAAAGGTAGATTTTTTCCAATATTTAAATCAAATAAATAACAATAACACAATAAACAACAATTGAAAATGTGTTTTTCTAGATTGCAGTATAAAGACAATAATAGTGTATTGACTTGACATTTCAACGATATAAGGATTCGGCCCGAAACGGGGAAAAAGCTCGGCAGAGCCTCGCATTTCCCCGTTTCTAAGCCTCATCCTTATATCTTTCTAACACAAACGATGCAAACGGCTAAGCGCGCACATGTTTTGATCATTTGTTTCTAACATACGTTTGCAAAGTTTACATAAACTTTGACAAATTATGCACTCGCTAAAACTGCGTCTACAGTTTGTCGTTCATCGTTTGTTTGTGCAAACGCTACATTTGTTTCTAACTTGAGATTTATTAGGTATGTTGGTTGAAGGAACCGCATTTAATTATGACCAAAATAAGTCTGTTTAGTATTTACCAACAACATTTGCATGCATTATTGAGAGTTCAAACAGGGTCAGTAAACACTTATTCAACGATGTATTTGTTTCTACTTTTTTAGCCTTCAGCAAACGATAACAAATGCCACACAACGTTTACACAATTTAGGTTAGAAAGAAATGCACCCTAAGTCAAGACACTATTAATTATTGTCTATATGTCAAACTCTAAACCGGCTCGAGTCTACACAGAATGATACCATGTATATGATATCAACATGATCAACTCCAAATTCCCTTAATAAGAAATATACAGTTTTCATTCAGTTGTAAGTAGTACAGCAATGACTTGTGAATATGTCGAGATATGATGTCGACGTTGATATTCACATATCAGTAAATAGTACTGTGACAGTATAATAATGTTAGATTTTTTAAAAATAATTAGTTTTGGACTGAAAGGTTATACAATTGAATGTGAAAAAGATGTTATGTGTGAAAACGAGTTCGAACATATTATCTCAGAACTTTGCAAAAAGCTTCCGACTGTTGAAAAATAAAACAAGAATTTGCATGTAGATTTCTGATGTCCAATTACATGCTTTAAAAATGAGATGTGGTATGGATGCCAATGGGACAACTATCCACTAGAGATCAAATGAAGTGGAGATGAGCAATCATAGATCACCGTACGGTCGTCAACAGTGAGAAAAATAATGACTATGAATTGTCGTATCTATAATAGAACAATATCAAAATAATTGATATATGGTATGACCTCCAAGAGACATCTATCAGCAGACACCACAAGACGTGGATGTCAGAAACTACAGGATACTATAGCCTTCAACAATGAGCTAAAACAACACGGCGTAAGTCATAAAAGGCCACATGATGACAAAATGTAAAACAATTGAAATGAGAAAACAAACGGCCTGATTAAAACAATGAACGTAAAACAAACATGACAGATAGTAACCAGAAACAAACACTAAAATCAGAGGTTTCTGACTTGGGACAGGCACAAAAAAGAATATGACGGGGTTAAACATGTTTATGAGCGCCAAACCTTAATTATCTAACCTGGGACTGTGGTGTTACAGCACGACATACGAACCATCTGTAAAAATCAGTTGGAAAGGGCTTGATCAATGAGATAGGTAGATCAAAATATAAGAAAAAAGACACAAAGTTCACTGGTTTTTCAAGACAGAACTTAAGATGCAATAATTTTATTAAATACAAATGCAACTTAAATCAATTATAGAGACAGTACGCCCACGAATCATTATAACGTACACTTTATTAAGTAAAAAAAATAACGGAATATATTTCTTTTGGCTAAATTCTATAGCGTAAAAGTCATGAAAAAATAAAATTCACAAGTCCTGACTATCATGTTTACACACTTATTTCTACAAATTAGAAAAAAAAAATCATTGACTAGTATCGTAATTTTACACGAAGAAATTTTTTTTATATTTCATCCACTTCTTTCAATATTTTATGTTTTGGTGGAATTTTATCACCAGAATATTCATCCTTCATATCAGGATGTGGTTTAATAGATGCTTCAGAGATGGTTTTATATTTAGCGGCTTCTTCTTTGGCCTCAGATTCCTCTAAACCAGCTGGGGGTTTTGTTCGATTCCGAACAACTCTAGGTGTTACATCATCAGGATGTACTTCTCCAACCACCATTTTGGGAGTAATTGTGTATGTCTGGTGATTCCTTTTTTCGTTGGCAAATTTAACACGAGTGCCATTATTATCATCGTCATGTTGTGGTGATTGAATTTCTACTCTAGCTCCTCGTGTTTTGGAGGATGAAGCATTTTGAGCATTTCCCATAGATTTTTTTCACTAGGATTATTTCATATCTGCAAGAAAATAATCGTAACCAGTGACAAATATTACAGTACTGTAGCAACACAACTACAACGTTAAACTATATGTTAAAAGATCTGCAAAAGATTCCACTAAGGCGAACAACTTAGTATTTATTTCGTATAGGTATAAAACCACTAATGCATAGCCCCATTACTTTCTATGTTAAATTCTGCAATTTCAAACATTAATGGCTACTTTGTCTTAAGTTCAAAACTATACCTTATCCTGACTTGTGCTGAAAAATTCAACATACCTATAATTGCATATAAGAGCGTACTGGTTCCCGGAAGTTTGACAATACAAAAACAGGTACTTCTGATCTGAACAACAGGGTTAATGTGCTCTCCTGTTATAATTTTATATACTTCAGTCTTTATTATTCAAAAGAAACTTTCAACAAGGGTTCTAAAGTGATCTCAAGTCCTCAAGCTTTCATTTAATACTAAAACTACCCAAATATTTCACCTATTGACAAAGATACAGCTATGCGTAGGAACTATTTTGTTTAAAATATGTACTACTTTATTTCGATCGGGCCTGAATTAGTGGTTCTATACCTATAAAGTATACATTTTATTTTCGTAAATTTTCAATACATGAATGATTTGTTTGAACAACAGATCAGATATAAAAGTATGAAATATTAAACGGGAATGTTGAATTGTTTGTAAAACAATAAATATTGTATTAGATTAACATTTAAAACTTACCAAGTAAGGAACACGGTTGATATTATGAGTTTTATAGAATTCACACGTTTTATTACTATATATATATAAAAATATTAATTTTCGCGAACCATTTAGGTCACGGAAATTCCATTTTTTGCCATCAGTAAGGAGAGTTGTACAAATAATGTGAATACACAGAACCCCGATCCAATTCATCTTTTGCTAAAAATATTTATCATTTTCTGTTTTATATCTCCTAACATGATTCCATTTTTCTCTAATTTCGATTAAAATATGCCAAAACCTGCAGTAAAAATAGATGTATGCCCCAAATAAACATTCCCCGATTGGTTGAACTACTATGGCGTCAATGTAAGCCTCGATGTAAAGCAACGCAAGCCTCGATGTAAAGCACACGCTTCCCAAGAGTAAGGAGAGTTGTACAAATAATGTGAATTCACAGACCCCCGATCCAAGCAAGTTATCTTTTGCTAAAAGTGTTTATCATTTTCTGTTTTGTATTTACCAACAACATTCCATTTTTCTATAATCCCGATTTAAACATGTCAAAACCTGCAGTAAAAATAGATGTATGCCCTAGGTAAACATTCCCCGATTGGTTGAAAAGCTGTAGCCTCGATGTAAAGCAACGCAAACGCAAAAATTTCCGATGATATGTTGAACTTCGACCCCGGGCCTATTCACAAGAAGACTTTCTTGCGCTCAAATGTAGTTCTAAGTAAGTATACTGGGAAAGTAAAATTATATTCTTTAACAGAAATATTTACACTTTTTATCATTAATGTATTGTCATGCTTCTGCATATTTACGCTGAGCTTTAGTAAAATATAATTATATACAAATTTTGTTACGTCAAGCATTAAGAGTAAGAATATATTTCGCGCTTTAACAAGAAAATAATCTGTGTCACCAAATAAGTTTATCAGCATCTTTCTGAAGTTTTCCAACAGAAAATAGCGTTAATTATAGAGAAATTTTTAGTGAGTATTACTTATTAATGTTAAGGTTCTCCAGAGGTGGTTCTCTACACCTTCTTGGCGGTCAATTTAATCCCATTTATCAATTATCCCCGATGGCGATGACACCCAGTCAATTTGTGTCATGAGTGAAAATCTTATCTAAATATCTATTTGATGAAATAACTTCTTCATTAACTGTACATGCAATATTTTTGTAGTTTTTGATAACCGTGCACATTCCCATTGCATGTCCGCAAGATAAATGGGTTATGCATTTGTGAATTGTGCAGTCGTCGAATACTCTTCCCCTGTATGGGATCCGTAAAAAAAGCAACACATCACTCAGGTTGAGCAGGTACAGCGTAAGGCAGCCAGGTTTGTCTTCAATGATTATAAAGACAGATCACCTGGAGCAGTTTCAAATTTAATTAAATCATTGGAATGGGAAAATTTAGAAATAAGAAGGAAAAAAACTAGATTAACTATGCTATATAAAATAAATTGGGGGTTAGGCCTAGTGGAAGTTCCTAAGGACAATTTAACAATATCTGATAGACGTACTAGGGGGAAACATAAATTTAGGCAAATATCAACAAATAAAGATTTCTATAAATTTCTTTTTATCCTCGCACTATTTCGGACTGGAACTCACTAACTGAAGCAATAGGTATGTCTGACACCCTGGAATCCTTCAAAAGTGGCATATCCACTCTAACATTTGAAGGAGCCACAACAATTTATTAAACTACAAAGCCACTGTACATAATGTATATATGTTATTGTTAATGATTTTTCTTTGTCATATTATTTTTAAATTAAGTCCATATGTACATAGCACACAAGTTCCGGGAAGTTTTACACTCCTACCTAGGAGTCTACTCCTGTATTCGGAAGAAGAAGTACAGTAATATTGTGTAATACGAATAATGGCGGAGGATAAAAATTTGTGACGGTCAGTGCGTGATCACGTGACATTATTATTTGTAAGCAAACGGGCTCCCCATGTAACACGTGTCGGAACTATCCATACAAGGTGCAATCAATCTTATATTTCACTATTTGATGATATTTCTGTGTCTGTTTGTAGGTTTTGAAGATCAGATGTCATAGTGTAGTTTCATAGACAAATTGAAGGTCTTTCCACCAGTAAGGATCTATTTTGATATGAAAATATTAAAATTTTGTTTTAAATGTCAATTTCCGCTTCAAATGACAGCTTATTGTACGCTGATTCCAAAAATATATGTTTTTTATACAAAAAGATATAAATAAGGGAGATAATTTTTTACTTCCGGTTTAAAAGATGTTACTTCCGGTATTGTTTGTTAGTTTACTTGACACTGATTCCAAAAATATATGGTTCTATATACCGTAGAAAGGCTTGTATAGTTCGCAGTGGTACATAGTCCGCACCCCCTTCTCCCAACGAAATTTTAGGTAAAAAAACTTTTTGTAACTGTTAGAAAAGGTCTAATGAAACTCCGGTAATTTCAAATCCTGTGCGGTCGTTTGCGGTATTTTCTTGGAAAAACCTGTTTTCCATCATCAAACAGAAGCTGAAACTGCTTGTAAATGATTCTAGAACGCTTCATGATTGTTAAAATAAGTTTAATTCACTTAAAAAACAATTTAGAAACTTGTGTATGTTTAAACAGGAAGTTTAAAAAGCACGTGTAAAAGAAGAAATTAACCGGTGAGAGTCGAAATCCGTACATAACAGATATCACTATAATACGACTTTGAAAGTAAAACAGTTCCATCCTTTTGTAAAACAGTCTTTAATATATCTATCACATTAATGTTTGAAGGGTCTTAAGCTAATACAAACCATATTAGTCAGTATGAAACACCAAAACGGAACGAACAATAACCGATTACGTTTTGTAGTTTACAAATTCTAAGCTGGTTTACGGTTGTCTTTTTCACTATGTTTGTATCGTTTCAATCAAGCAGATACCAGTTTATTTCAACCAATGCATTGAAAAGAAACGAGAAATTTGTAATGAAAGGTTTAGTTTTTATATTTATCAGTATTAATTTGATATTGAATAGAAATAACTTATTAATATGGATGAGTTAAAATTATTAGTTTGAAAAATGATAAGAGCGCCCTCTACAATAGAAATAACAAAGATGGCGGAACGTAAACAAACCACCTCGACCGCGAAATTGAAATTTTTCTCTTATTTCTTGCTTATTGTACTCTATAGTCCGCACCCCGTCTGGAAGGTCCAATTTTGGAGAATAAAACCGCGGACTATACAAGCCTTTCTACGGTACTTTTACATTAACTTAGTACAAAAAATAGCTACTTCCGGTTTACAAAAGGTCACTTCCGGTTGACTTTTTCAATGTCACATTGCTTGCAACCTAATGCAAAAAGTCCCTTGGCTTTATATATCATGTATACATATGAGGTAAAAGCAAAGGTCAAAATCTAGAACGTTAAATTTACCTATGACCTTGAGCTCAATTTCAAGGTCATAAACCAAGGACCACAAATCAAAAGACTCTAGGCCTCTACTTTATATATATTGTTAATGAGTTCTATTACCATACGACTAATATTAGATATAAAAGGGGGAAAACTCACATCAAATGTCTACGTACCCTTTCAACTAAAATTTACGTGTTACGACATGTCGCAACTAACAATTGTGTGAAAATATTTTGTCGATATCTTATATGATTTCTAAAAATAAGAGATAACAAGCCAAAATCAAAATTTTGAACATGACCTTGACCTCATTTTCATTTTTTTGGACCAAGGACCTCATATCAAAAGACCCTAGGCCTCTATCACTTATGGTTTTCCAGTTAAAAATACATTTCACTTATATCAAATACAAAAGGGGAAATAACTCTCATATGGAATCTCTATACGGCTTCGGTCAAAATAGAACCTAACATCTTGAGGATATAACGAGCAATTTGGAAAAATAAATTTGTCGCTTTCTTTTACGGTTGTGGAGGAGATCTCATAACAAGAAAAACAGTGTTTGGGGAGATAACTCTTACAAAGAAAAGTGTTCGGTTAAACAGGGTCAGTTTCAAAAGCGTATAGACTGTATGATATCATACCAAAAAACTAAGCGACATCTTTTGAAACAAAAATACACCACAAGAAAAAAATTAGGCGGAAGAAAAAAAAAATAATCAGAAGAAAACCAATAGGTCTTTCCACGGAAAGGTGGAAAGACCTAAAAAGTACCATGATTGTTCCTGTTCAGTAGTTGTGATTTTTTTTATAGAATTAGAAGGTAAGTCTACATTAGTCATTATTTAAATTAAGTCTGAAAAAAATGACTCAACGCTCTGTGTAATTTTTCCCAAATTTTT